ATTTTTTTTTTACAAAGTTGATAAGTAACTTGGAAGTACTTGCAAGCACATGAAGTAAAGTGATGATGGAATTTAAAACTATATCACGCTACTTGATTGAAGAAGAAAATAACGTGGATTTGGGTGTTGGGTTGAAATTGTTGAGGATAAGATACACAAAATTTATTTTAATTGGTGATGATGAATGTTTTCTACTTTACCAATCTAGGTTTGATTTTATAGCTAGTCCTCATAAAATAGAATCTTGGATAAAAAAAGACAACATAAGGGAATATGCTTTTAAGATTTTTTAGGAAAGACCTAGTTTCAATATACAAACACTTGTTTATGAATGTTCATTTAATTAAAATAAAAAAATAAAAAAAAATTGACAAGAGTAGAGAGATGAAAAAGTGGGGTGTTTGGGTTATTTGAGAGATAGAGTTACAGGTTAGAGAGATAGAGTTAAAGATTAGACATAAATAGTTGTACAAGAAATTGTGGTAGTACCTTACCAAATCCTCATATATATTTTAGATAATAGGACACATTGTTTATATACTATTGCATTTTTTTAATAATGATTTTTACTATATAGTCAATATCTTATATAATTAGATGTTATTTGCAATTTTCTAATTCTCAATTTGTAGGTAACTTCCTATACAATTAGATGTTGTTCTTGGTTTCCTAATTCTTATTCACAGACGCTATACATATTAGGTATTTTTCCTTCAATACCGTAATACTTTATTTTTTAAGATGGTACTAGCATTTGGTTGTAGGGTTTAGAGAGTTTAAATATTTTGTGCACCATCGCTCATCCTAGTCATTCCTAGTCATTATGATAAAAAAGGAAAAAACTTTTCCTTAAATAAAAGAAAATTAATGTTAATTGTCTTTATTTTTCCTTAAATACACCAAACCAATATAAATGAGTATGCTTTTAAGATCGCCAAGGAAGGGCCTAGTTTCAATATGCCTAAACTAGTTTATGAACATTCTTATTACCAAAACCAAAAAGAAAAGAAAATTAACGAGCATAGAGATGATAAATAGTTAGTTTTGGGGTTATGTAATAGAGAGAGCTGCATATTATAGAGAGTTATAGATTAGAGAAAGTTGCATAATATAATAAGAATATTATCTATATAGTTTATTAGACAATAAAACATTTTTGTTCATAATTTTTTCCTATATAGTAAATGTCCTGTATAATTAGGTGTTATTCTTAGTTTTCTTATTCTTATTCATAGGTATCCTTATAAATATCAAGTATCATTCCTTCAATACCATAATACATTAGTTTATCCTTTCAAGATGGTATAATGAATTTGGTTGTAGGCGTAACAAGTTTTAGTATTTTACACATCACCGCTCATCCTAGTTGTTCATAATGATTATGATGAAAAAAAAAAACTTTTTCTTAAATAAAAAAATTAGGTTCATTGTTCTATGTTTTTTTCTGAATCGTTTTGCTTGCTGGAATCATGCCTTTTTCTTCATCTCCTCGATTATATCTAGTTCTTTACTTTGTGAAGAGAAAATCACAATGGTATATATTACATTTTCTTTAAACATTCTAACATGTTCAGATGATAAAGACAAATTCTTTTCATCTAACCCTATATACTATAGTTGTTTTTCAATTGTAATGTATGTTCCCTTTATACCTACCTATAAGAGAAAAAAAGAGGGTGAGATTTTGAAAGAGTTGAGATCATATTCTTTCTTTGTGTTTAAAGAGGAATGATTGTGGTGGTTTTTTGAGATTAAAGGAGGAGAACAAGGTGGTGTTAAGAGGGTTTGGTTCTAGAAGTGATTGAAACTGGTTAATAGATTGTGGAGATTTTTTTTTTTTAATAGTTTTTGGGGAAGTTTAGATATTAAATTTCATGGAGGGATTAGCAAAATAGTTATAAAATCTATACTGTTGAATGAGGAACAAAATAAGAACCAACATTTGCAACTAATTACGGAAACCAGATGAGAAAGTTAAAGTGGTAATGAAAGTCGATCTTGTCATATCTAGTGCATAATCATGTAAAAAGAAGATTTATGTCTTTTCTAATAGAAAATTGCTTAATTGCTTTCTTTTTTTAAAAAAAGTATTGCTTTCTCTATCTAAGAGAAATGTGCCCAAATGAGAAACTTACATAAGTCTAATCTACAACTTACGAGAAATAGAAATAGGTTTAAATTTAGGATTAAAAAAAAAATTATAAGCCTAAGAAGGTGCCCAATAATTCATGGGAATTAATATTTGAGAACCAGATAAAAATATAATTTTTATTTCGACTTCTTTTGATACATGATACACACTTCACAACTTTATCGTGAGTTAATCGAGTTATTATTCTATTGCAGAAGGATAAAAATTAAAGGACTAGAAAGAGTGTCAACCCGAACACTTGCAATAACTTAATATTTTCAAGATTAATTTTTATCTTTTTGAATATTGGAAAATAGAACTCAGCCCAGTACCATCTTCTATTCCTTCATGCCCTTTCCGCCCAGCCCAATGGGCCCTGTTAATAACCTCCTTGAGACGGCGTCGTTTGGGTGGCTCCCGAATTTCTTCTTGATTCAGAGGGGTCAGTGATTTTGAAAAAGGAGAAACAGTTGGGCAGGTGAACAGGAAACACATCTGACAAGTGAGAGGCCGAAAATCAAAGGATTTTCTAGCAGGCAAAGAAGGGAGCAGACGTAACGCTGAAGCACAGAGAGCAATAGAAAAAAAGTAAGATGATGATCTGAAGGGAAAGGGAAGAAGAATTTGCGGTTTGGTGGAGATTTCGGCTATAAAAGGAGAGCATTTGGGCGAGGAAAGGGCAGAAAAGGGCCTCGAGGAGTAGCAGTTTGTGTGAGAAGGAAAACAGAGGGAGATTGAGTGAAAAACGAAGAGAAACGGAGAGGGAGGGAAAAAAAAAAAAAAAAAAAGAGAGGGATGAATCAGGTCTGAGGAAGGGAAGGATAGAGAGTCAGCCCAGGGAGAGGAGGGAAAAGAGAGGAGAAGGGAGAGCAAAACAGAGCGAAAGAGGCAGAGGAGAAGGCATCAGTCTGGTGGGGGCTCTGGTTTTGGCGACAAGTTAACTACTTCTTCCCTCTGGTTTCTATTGGTTCTAAGGGTAGAGTTTTGGTACTGAAAGGGTTCAGGAAGGTAAGCCTTGTTTCTTGTCTCGTCTACTCTTGATTTAAACGTGCAAATATGGATGAGTTTGAAGTTGGGCAATTTGGAAATTGAGGATTAAATTGAATGTCTTGAAGTTTTCTTTTGGGTGATTAAGTTGTAAACATGTTCTTTATAATTGCTCTTGATTTTATTTTGCTGCTGCATATGATGCAAATATGCTTTAAAGGTTGTTAATGTTTAATTTTTTGTCTCCACTGCTTGATAAAATGCCTCATGGTAATTCTGGATATGGAAAATAATAATTGTTGACTAATAAAATAGGATAAGGGAATAGCTAAACTTATATAGATCCAGACATTTAGATTAATAGAGTTTGGACCCTATTTGAGATTTGGTTTGAATATCACTTTGCACCTTGGTTTGAGAAGGGTTAGTTATTTTTAACAGGAATTAAAGAAAAAAGTGAAAGAATTTATTAAAAGGAAAGTGATTTTTACTCGTCCTGAATGTTCTTGCATCATTAGTTCCTTGCTATTGCATTTGTTCTATTGTCAATGGAATGGCGAAGAGCTTAGAGAAAAAAGTACGCGCGAAGCCTGAAAAGAGAAGTCTATGAAATGTTGTTAATTTTTGCTTTTATGTTTAATTTTCAACCTAGGTGTTTTGGCTTAATTTAAGCACTAACCCCAGCTGGTATATTAGATTTTCAATTAACATCAGGAACAATTATGCACCATAATTAAGATTTTAAATTAATTTTGACATGTATACTAAACCTACAATTAGCATGCGTCACAGTCTAGGTTCTTCACACCTTTCTAACCGGTATCATCTCCGAACTTAGAATCTTAAAATGGAGGACGGTAAATTTTGGCTTAATTTAAGCCCTGAACGCATATATGCTGAAAGTAGTAAAACAAAAAGTTTTCCTATAGATTTCATCCTTAATTTTCCTATTTTTGTTCGTAGGTATCCCAATAAATGTTATGCACTATTCGTTCCTTCAACAAAATAATAAGGGCAATATGATAATATTTATTCTTTCCACATATATGCGTTCAGGACTATTCTGAAAACTGTATTGTCGTTTCAAATTTTTCTCAATGCAAAGCTGTTAGGTGTCTGGAGCTAAAAGTTTATTGTATCTTTGAGAAAAGGTCAGTCAACCCTCATTTTCTATATTGTTTATTCTCAGTTTGTCCCCATCGTGTTTATCTCTATCATGGGCTTCTAGTTTGTTTCAGAAATATATAATGCTTTTGTGGACTTCATTTAAAATTGATAGAATTTTTGTTTTAATTTCACGTGAAATTCATCTCGAGATGGATACTCAGGCTAATTATGCATATTTCAGTGAATAATGTGAAAAGAGCTCATTTGCTCTGAACACATTCTTAATAAATTTGAATTCTGATGATTGGGATTTTAGGTTAATAGATAGATCTGAGTGGGACATCAAAAGTTTTTGAAGACATTTCATTTAGTTATGCTTCCTTTTTGCACAGTTGATGTTTGCCAATGCAGAAATAGACAAACAGTTTCAGTCAAAGTTGAATGGGGAGCTCTCTTGTGTCTTGAGCACATGGGAGATACTTCTTGGTTTACTTCTTTTTTCTTGCAATCTTTATCCTTGACCTGGATTCATTCATTCCTATTCCTTGAAGTGTTTATTTCTAGACCAAATATTTCAGTAGCATCAAATGGATCTTGTCTGGTACACCATTGTTCATGCTGTTAGAGCAGATGTCCAGATATGGCAAAAGCTATCGAACATTGATTGAACTATGATATTTATGGGTGGTGCCGCCGTGCCTGAGATTCTTGACGCCTCTATGAACTGGA